GGGGGGTGCAGGGTGGATGGGGGTAAGGTAAGTAAGGAAAGGAGCAGGAAAAGAGGATTAAGCAGGAAAGTTACATTATCAAGGTAAGGGACTTTAAGTTAACTTACTGGTGGGGAATCAAGGTGTGGGATTTGCCATTGTTCTTTTTTTTATGGAACCCATGACAGTTCCCCATCTTTGCCAAATACTCTCCATTATAAATTGGTTGAAATTGATTTTGTGAATGCTGCTAATCTTATTCTGATGACACATAGCAGTAACCAGCAGTACCCTCAAGAATTAACTGTGAAGTCAGCAGGAAAAAGCTCTCTCCGAAATAAAATCCATCATTATTTCCTCAAGATGTTGGGGGGATTTAAAAGATTAATTCCCTTCTTTTAATTCATGTGTTGGTAGCAATTTCAACACATTTGGAACCATTAAGAAGCTGTTTACGCTTACACTTACAAGCTGGTATGTTCAGAGGCATGTTTGCCTTTAATGTCAAGTCAAATTATCACAAAAAACTGCGCTCATCATCCAGAGGCTCAACCTAATTAATCAAATCAAATCTCCGAACAATTGACAACATGCTGGCAGCTAGTAAACCAAACTCCAGGCTTTAAAATGTCGGAGACCGATCCATGTTTTTGTACAGAATTTGTGTGACTGTGGAGTGAATTGAATTTCAACAATTCCTATTTAAACAAGGTTTCAGTCAGCATTAGGTAGTTTAAGCAGGGACTTTTAGAAATGGTGTAAAAGGGTAGGAACAATAAGTAAATGCATTATTTTTTTCGGGAGGCGAGATGTGACTTGGCCCCAGTGAATCTCCACCACATTTAACTAAAGTAAAATAAATAAAGTAGGATTTCTAAGGAATTAAGAGGTTAATAAGGAATAAGGGGAGAAGGGGAAAGGGAAGGTATTAGGTTCAAAGGGTCATGGTTTTTGGCTGGTGCTCAATTGTCAAACCAATATTGCATTATCTACACAGTACTAGCTCAATATCTGATGGTCAAACAAATAGACAGGATGATGTGAAGATGTCCTATACTTCAACGACTAAACGAGTATCAAGAAGTTTACACAGTTTAAGAATTATTGAAATGACTGTGCATAGCCTTTAATAAAGGTACTGTGTATATATTACAGTGGGTGAGATAGAGAGACACCAGCCTTGCTTCAGGACACCTATACAATAATATAGTAATATCTGAAATGAAAGCAATAATGTGGTTAAATAAGTCATGTTTTAATGCAAGAGCAGGTAAATGCTATAAATCATAGTATATCGTCTGTATCTTTCCATTCTATTTACAAGAGTTTAACACATAGCTGGTTAGAGTGATTCTTCAGTAAGTCTGACAAAACTTCAGAGGCCCTTTCATCTTCTGAAGCTAATTTATGTCTCTTGGCACATTTCCATTTCTGTGTTTTCTATATCACTCTATCTCACTTCTTTCTCGCCCTCACAGCTGTTAAATCCCTCTCAATAAAATCTTAATCTCTTTCCCACCATCTGACAAACTTTTCCTTCAGCTAATGTTGTTTTTTTAATCCCCTCTTCCTGTCTGGCTGTCTTTACATCCATCTCTTGCTGAAATTTGTTATTTTCTCCTCAGCTTAGGTTGATCCTTGGCAGATAGGGCCTTTGATCTTTTAATGGAAAAAAATGCTACATTCACATTTCACAGGTTGTTCAAGTTGACATCAGCAGTCTTTGTGTGTGGTACTTCTTAGCTCCGTTCTGCATCTGCATCTGCTCTGCTCAGTCCCAGTACTGCTTCACTGCGCAGCACAGGTACAGTAGGAGATGTAAACTGATCCATAACTGACCCTTTTGCCACAGCGCTCCTCCTCTTCCTCCTCAGGTGTAGAAAAAGCAGAAGATTTAATATCCAAAGCAGCTTTTGAGACATTTGATGGATGTCTTGTCTTGGCGCGTCTCGTTCAAGGTTATGAGCAAATGATGCATAGAACTGCATCTCCCGGGATCCAGTGTCTTGAGTTTCCCGACATGCAACACACAGCTGTCTGTCTTTTCATCCTGTTACTGAAAATGTCTTTCTGTCACTCCACCTGTAACAATCCTGCAGGGTAATTAGTAGAGGTATTTAAGTCTTTTGTTTTACGTGTGTGTCTGTGTTTTAATGGGTATGTGTTTGTGTGTGTGTTTGTATGTGTGTTGTAATTATGTCCCTGTGTGTGCAAGTATCTTGCTGCGGCAGTTATACACGTGTGGTGGAGTGTGTATGCGTTGAGATGTGTGTGTGTGGCAAGTGTGTATTACTGTATGGGCTATGATGCGTGTATCCTTGGTGCGGATGCCCCATTCTCATCCCCACCACTGATCCAGGCGTCATGGGGGTCATCGGGGTAACAGGGTGTGACCCAGGAGTCACGGGCAGTGAACCTGGGGTCAGAGAGGTCATGAGGGGGACGTCGTCGGGCGAGCGGCGCAAGGTGAGGGTGTAATCTGGAGGGCAGGTGAGGCGCACAGTGTCCAGGGTGCTGTAGATGTCCTGGGTGTCCATGCCGTCCAGAGCGTCCAGCGTGTCCAGAGTGTGATGGTGGTGAAGGTTGTTCCTCTCGTCTGCTGACGCAGCATCACACTCCAGCTGCTTCACCTAAAAAGGTGGGGTGAATATTTATATTAGACAACAGGAGTAAAAGCAGTGGAGACACAAAGATACATAAAGTGAGAGAAACTAGTTTTAAAAAATGGCAATTCCAGTTTCCTAAAGCACAGGGTGAATTAGTTAGTGCAAAACATTTTATGACTTATTTACTATTCATTATTTTTGTATGGCTAGGTGATAAGGCCAAAATCATAATAACAATATTTTTATTTGTTTTTATTTGTATTCCTTTCATGTATCATGATATTGTAAATTAATCCACAAGTATGTATACAAAAGTAAAACTGAGGTAATATTATCTGTTATTAACAATAACTTCTAAATAATTGAAAAAATCCTACAAAAAAACTTATTTAATAATACCTTATTATCATGCAGCCTAAATATAAATGACAAAAATGTAAGTTAAGTTTGTGTATGAAAATCATGTAAAAGTATAAAGGGTGAAAATGGCCTCTACTCTCCATCTATGTGTTAGTGTAATTGACTTAGACACCTCTCAATCAAACAAACACATCTCAAAAGAAATCATCACGCTCTGTAAGCTTACATGTCTTAAAATCACCACTATGACACATTCAGATTTATGAAAATATCTATTAAGAGTCCACATTCTTGAAGTTTGAGGGATTACTCCAGTCAAATTAGTTTCAGATCAAGCATCTGGCAGTCAAACGAATTAAACCGTACCAATGCTATTTGTCATCATCATCCAAAGCACTACTGACTTTATTTCAAGGTGATGTCTAGCCTCTGCAAGGCCAGCATGTTGTTTCTAAAATGAATTTACACAAGCATGCAGTGCATAATAATATAATAAAGTCTTCATTTTTCCTTGTCACGTCAGATCTAATGTGCACGAAAGCCACACAAAGATATTTAAAATAATAAAACACAATTCCAAAAGCAGCTGCAATGCAGAGCTACATCACTGTGGTTCAAAAGCCAGTTCCCAGTATTTGCGCGCTTTAGAAGGGATCTGACATTTAGCATTCACTTTGGCAGATTCCAAAGCCACTAACTGAGCTCAAAAGAGGCCAAATAGTTGGAGGATGAATTTGAGGCAATTGGAAGCAATTCAGGCAATTGGACACAGCCCACACATGCACAAGCATCAAAACACACTCATACACACACAAACACACACTAATGTCTGCCGATGACAGGCTGTGTTTTGCAGAAGTGCTCTGCTGGCAGCTTCTGCTCTGGCAGCAAAGGGGTCCATTCAGTCCCAAACACAAATCCTCTCCTGGCTTAATGTTTCTTAAAGGTATAATAATATGCATGATTATTAACAATAGGCATTATATATTTAAATAAAAGCTGCAACAACTAGTGGGATAATCAATCAGTAGATAGAGAAATAATCGCAAGATATTTTGATTATCGACTTAGTTTTTCATGGCAAACTGTTTTCAGCCTCTCAAAATTGGAGAAATCACATGAGACTAAATATCTTTGGGGATTAGTCCGACAAACCAAGATATTCAAAGACATCACCTTTGAGAAAATGGGATTGATATTTTTTATTTAGGATTTTCTGACATTTTATAGACCAAACAATGAATCCTTTATTCAAGAAAAGAATTGATAATGATTCATTAAAGATTCATCGATAATGAAAATAATTGCAGTCCTACTTTTAAATAACTTAACATTATGTAAAGCATAATTAAAAGAGAAAAACACATGGCTCACCTGTAGTGACATCAGACCCTCCCCCTGCAGGTGGGCGGCGACGTCTGCAGGCGTAATATCTCGTCTCGGGGGAGGAAGTGGGCGGCGATGTTCCAGACGCCTCTTGTCCTTCTTGTACAGCAGAGCGGCGAATGCCAGGATGTTGAGGAACAACAGTGACGCTCCCACCGCAATCGTCACCGAGAGTTCAGTTGAGTAGTCCTCATTCGGGACGCGGACCCCTTCCTCCGGTCCACCTGGGCCTAAAGCAGCCTCTGGTGGCGGTGGAGTTCCTGCCTGTGAACCTGGATGACGTGTACTGCCCGGCGGCCAAGCTTTGGCAAGCCGCTTAGTGTAAGAATAAGGAGTGTCATCCTGTGGAGAGGGACTGTGCGTGAAGGAGGAAACCGATTGGAGGAGTTCATTGACATGATGTAGGTGAGGGACCAGCTGGAGCCAAAAGGAGATTTTGGTGGCACGGTAGTGGTCTCTGACACGGGGCTTCAGGCCAATGTGGAGGTACAGCTGCTCTTTAGGGGTGTACTTAGACCAGGCCACTTCTTCAAAGCGGTTGGGTTTAGTGTGGATGAACTTGGTGTCTTGAGGAACCGGCTGGTTTGGGTCACTGGAAAGGTATGAAGCATAATTAGTTATTTAATCACATTGAGATGGGTTGGTGGTCAGGTGAGGGTCTTGCATATAAATAGAATGTTAAAAGAATGTCTAACTTGTGTTAGTCAAGACACTGCTTTTAATCTCCTCTGAAATATACAAATTGTTGTAACCAAACACAAATATAACAAATATAAAAGAATGAGTAGCACAGCAATAGCAAAAATAAAACCCAATTTAAAAATCAAATCACCCAAATCTTAGACCAACCTAACAGTAATAACAGTCCAATTTTAAAAGTATAAATCAACCATAATGAAATGCAACCAACAGAGGTTTATCCCACACATTTATATTCAAGGGTCATTTTTTTTAAATAAAGGCTTTTAGTGCAATATTCAACATTCCAATATGTAATGCCTTTCAGTTTTTCAAATGTCAGAGACTCCTAACAGAGCTGCTGAAGACTTTTTCTCAGCTGGCTAGCATCCTCTGGGGGAGTGTGAGTTTCTCCCATGCTGCCCAATGGTTTCCTTAGCGCTGGTACACATGTTTCTAAATCAATATCAACGTTACACAAGACAAACCAGTGGCAATGAATACTTGCCCAACGGAAAACAAGTTGTGTTTGCCTGTATACATAGCTCAAAGGTGACTCTGTTGCAGGTCATTGATTTGTTTCCACTCTACATGCTTCGTGCAAAACATTTCAGTAAATGCACAGATCAAACTCTGCGGTTGGAACTGTGTGGATATTTGCCTCTCTGAAAACTGGCAGATATCGTTATAAAAGATGAATGTGTCTGTTGCATAGTGAATACATCTTGAAAAATCATCTCTCTGACACATGCAGACAGGCATTCATTTGACAATTTACCGACTTATTTGTGTCAGCAGCGAAAAATGACATAAATGAAAAAGCAGCAAAATTTCACAGAGTTGCCAGTTATACGCTATGTGCTTACTTGTCAATCAGCACCTTATGATCAGCACAAAAAGACAGGTAGCGTAAAGACCTACCGGTACACTCGCACACCGGCTGAGGATTTAAACGCCTACACAGAAGCTTAGAAAATATACATGAGGGAGCATCACACCCTGCGTTAAATTGATCTGTCGCAGAGTTCCATCACCATCCGAGGCACTCTCAGCCGAGTGAAATCGTTCTTCAGAGAGATTTTCCCGTAGATAATTGCAGTGTGCATGGAAATCTTATCAACCCTCCTTGGTGATTGTTCCCGGCAGTTTTCTGGGGTGGTAATGACAACACTGAACATGCGCTAGAAAATGCTAACTTGATGCAATGCGATTGCCTGAATGCACCTGCGTTAATGACCAGACTCACAATATGTACGGGCACTGTCCTAATTTTGTGTGTTGTGAGATAGCAAGGCTCTATGGTGATTTAGATCAAGGTCTAGACTGCAGATGTCTCTGTAAATCTGAAGAGGTCTCAGCGGAGTGAGTCTCGATTGGATTAATTACTGGTAATTACTCACTTCCGGCTCTGCAGAAAGAGGGTCCATCCTCAACAATTACCTTTATCTTGTATATCATGTCAGAGTGAAGAGATAAAAGGTTCTCTTATCAGTGTGGACTGTCGGGATTTTAAGACTTTAAACGTGGATACGTTCTACAACTGTGGTATTCGTTGCTACTGGCAGATCATTCACTTTCAATGTAATAAATTGGATCTCTAGAAGCTTTTTTAGCCACTGGCACATCATTTTAAATTTGTATTTAACATATTGAATAAGCTATCTGTCTCATCTGCCGTAAATGACTGAATTAGGGAAGATTAAAGAAGAGAAGAGAAGAAAAGAGGAGAGAAGAGAAGAGAAGAAAAGAGGAGAGAAGAGAAGAAAAGAGGAGATAAGAGAAGAAAAGAGGAGAGAAGAGAAGAGAATAAAAGAGGAGAGAAGAGAAGAAAAGAGGAGAGAAGAGAAGAGAAGAAAAGAGGAGAGAAGAGAAGAAAAGAGGAGAGAAGAGAAGGGGAGAAAATAAAAGTGAAGAGAAGAGAGAAGGACGAAATGAGAGGAAAGGCCAATCTCTCGTTCTTCTTTCAGGACATTACCTTGGCTTTCTTCAAGGACCTTTTCGATATAGCAAAGGCTTTTAACTTTCTTCACCAAAGCCCAAAGAAGAAAAGCCCTGTCAAAAATGTGACTTGACAAAGAACCTGTGTGCACGCTCTGCCAAAATTAGTCTGCAGCGGTGCTTTAATGATTGTATCTTTAAGTACTGTCGTCTCACCAGACATCACAGACCTTTTGAAGGAAAATGCATTATAATAACATATCCTTTGCCTGTGAGCTCATTATTTTTGTTGCTCTGAGACGCAGGTGTTCTTCTCATTAAATCTCAGCATCACTCCAAATGAAACCTTTGTTTCTATCCAGTTCAATTGTTACTTATCTTGATGGAAAAGTTTGACAGAGAAAAGGATTCAGGCTATTCTGTCTTCTGCACTCAATTCCTACAATGCACTTTCCTATTCAATATGAACATCATTTGTAGGAAATACATTTGCTTAATGATAATCAAAGTTGTTATTTTCTCCTTGTTGTGTGAACCCTGCCAGATAGCTCCACTCCATGTACATGCTAACTATCAATCAGTCCAAATTAAACATGGATGAAACCTATTCAAGAGGCTGTTTGTCTTGATGACACTGCAGAGCTGAGACTTGGCTGCCTTATTCTGAGCTTGGAAGAGATTTGTTCCTGTAAAAATGACTGGGCTTTCCACAGTTACAGCATCGACACTCTGTGTTGCCAAAACCTTGTCTCTTCAGAGCGTCCAAGATAAAGCATGATTTCCTATTGACAGCTGGGCATACTCTCTTGCTTTTTAAAATGTGATTACATTTAAGATTGGCTTTAATGTCTTATCATGATATTCTTTCTTCTTGTGAAAAAATATGCTATGCAATGAAATACCTTTGTTTGGTCCTATTTTCTTGATGGTCTTTATATAGTTTAGTTTGACAAAAGGAAATAAAAACTCGTCTCATTGGGATTTTTCAGACCAGAGAACATTTTAATAGCTCACCCAGTCTTGGCAAAGTTGGTCCAGTAAGTCATGACAACAGCGCTCAGCATCACGTCGTTCTTGGAGAAGTTACAGTTGAACAGATCAGTGGGTCCCACCATGGGCACACCGAACACATAGGGCACCTGCACAGACAAACAGACACCATTTATTAAACGCTGTAGGCGTACAGATCACATTCATTCTCTTGAAAGTAACCATTTTTCTATCACGACAGACTTTAACGTCATCCAAATGAAGACAAAATATTTGTAAATGCAGAGAACCTAAAATCACTAAATCATTTTTATAAATACCCCACCATAATCTGGACTCAAATCTAGCCCCACAAACAGCAAATACAAATGCAGACACATTCATTGCAATAGACCACACCTACAACATTGTAGATCAAAAGCACTTTGCTGCAAAGAACAGAAGAAATTATAACTGCAATACACTGTAATTATCACAGTGGTAAATATCGGCAGCTTGTAAATTAGCCATGCAGGGAAACAAATCCCAAACATATTTCATATATTTTACGCTCCAGACGAGCGTTTGATTCTTTTTATGAAGTACTTTGAACAAATCAATATGAAGCAGCACTTCACAGGGAATTTTAACAAGAGCTCCTTTACTGTCACATTCATATTCTGAAAATCTTTGAGACTAATCACTTTCATTTTTGCCTCTGAAACAAAATGTCCTATCCTGACTTTTTTCCTTGATGTCTATCATCATTATTTATCTCTCAACTTACAAACACTACAACAGCAACTGTCACTCATAATACAATACAACAATACAACACTGTGACATCAGCTTACTTCGTCACCATGGGCGGAGTCAGCCCAAGGCGGCGTGGCGTCACTCTGGCAGTGGTGGTAAAAGGAGTAGAAGTATGTAGGGGATCCATACTGGGCGTGGAGGTCAGCTGTGGCGATCGCTGGCGCCACCCATTGGTGGTCCGTGAATAACGCTACCAGTGTCTTCCGCCTGGTTTCTGCATTGTCACGGTCCGCCCAGTCCGTGTACATGAACCTTTAGTGGATACATGTCAAATTATCTATCAACCAATCTACAAACTCAAATGTATCATACATTAATTACACTTTATACTGTGCATGTACATTAACAAATACACCCTATCCATTTATGGGCTTGTTTGAACATTTGGGAAATACACTCTTCTGCCAAGAGTTAGATGAGAAAACAGGAAACCAGCAGAAACAACTAGCCTGGCTCCATCAAGAGTTGTAAAGCTCTACCTACCAACATCATTAAAGCTAATTTATTAACAAAATATATGGCTTATGATCAATCCATGCGCAAAAATAAGTTTAAAAAGGGAAAGTTATGGATGGAAGTAATGTGCTTTGACTATTTATTGGCAGCTGGTTGCCTGGCAAAGTGGCGACAAGATTCAATTTCACAGCCAAGAAATACTCCAACACATAACCCCCCGTAAAACCACAAATTGTCTATTTTACAGTTTGGTTTTTAATTAATGAGATGTAGAGCTCTTGGTATATTTTTCAGAGAGAGGGTAGCTGTTTCCAGTCTAAGGGTTGAGAAAAACTAACCATCTAATGACTGTAGGTTCATATTAAAGAACACACAGATGAGAGAGGTATCGATGTTCTCATCTAACTTCGGCCAAAGCCAACAAGCGTATTTCCCTAAATGTCAAACCACTCCTTTAAAACACTCTTTGACAGACTCACTCACCTTATGCTCTCTCTCAGCGTATCCCGGCCTTCTGGGTATCCATACAAACTGTCCACAAAGTCTGACACTGCAAAGTCAAAGTCCTCAGCCGTGACACCGTCCTCTGAATCCACAATGCCCTCCACAAACTTCACGCCCTCGCCCTGGTTAACCCCCAGCATAACGTCGTAGTTCAGAAACTCTCCCTGCTCCATCAGAATCTGGGGGTCATCAGGTATGACATCACCATCAATCACCGGGGCAAAAGCCGTGTGATATTTGGCCGGCGTTACGCTCTGCTCCACAAGTTCTCTGTAACTCCGGCCCTGGAGGCAGGCAACCAATTGGGTGCTGTCGTCGATGCCGCAGCCCACCCTCTCGCCGAGCTGCCGGGCGTACTTGCTGGGCTGGTAGTTGACAGCCCAACTGGCTAAAGCAGTGCCGCTCTGGATGATGGCTCTGTGGAACAGGTCTGAGGTACACATGAACACAAATACATCAATACAAATAAGGGTGTGGAAAGAATATAAACACAGGCACACACATGTATACATTTATGCTACATGCATTCACACACATGGATGAAAACATCAGCATGATTGCACCCCACATTTGCATACATGATCAGATGCAAAACTAGCATTCCCAAAGCAAAAACAAACTGACATGCATTATTCAAAAGTATGACCGGCCATGTTTAGAGCATCAGGTTCCTTTAGGTACGGGTTAACAGTTTGAAAGAATACAGCTCTTAGCAATATGAGTCAGAGGCAGGCTGTTTTATTCAGAGAACTCAAAGGCTTATTCAGGCTTTTATACCAGTAAATGAAAGCTGCATCGATCCACTGGAGACCATGAAAGGTTTCATAAGCATGAGCGTGTTAGCTTTCACAGCCCACACATGCCAACCATTATAGGTGCACAACTGCCTATCTGACTATATTCTTTGTTCATTTCTAACCTTTCCACTGTTCTGCATATATTACACAGAATAAAGGTTAAGCAGATTTTGGCCCTTCCTTACCCTCAGAGTAGTGAGACAAGGTGAGTAGGCTGACGCAGGAGGCCCCGGCCCCCGATCCGAACACAGTGACTCTACCGGGGTCTCCTCCGAAGGCTGCGATGTTCTCCTTCACCCAGCGCAGAGCCTGGATCTGATCCAGCAAGCCGTAATTCCCTTTCGCTGCCTGGTCACCTGTACTCAGAAATCCTACAGGCAGACAGAGTGAGATGTAATTACACACAGTACACTTATACTACTGACGTTTAGAGACTTGCCTGAAATCTGAGCTAAATATGGGCTGTGAGCAACTATGTATACAATAAGTCCATCAAAAAGGGTTTTTAAATGCACAAAAGCACACATGGATGTGATTCCACTTCATGGAATTCCCACTGTTAAAATCAATTATGCATGAGTCTTGGTTTATCATGAAGAGAAGGGATATTGATGAAAAATGATATGCCTCCCTGAAATACCTCGAAAATTTGATTAATTCAACAAGGCACATCCATATTCATGCAAGTCAAAAACAACTTACAACAGACAGAATCTACACACACATGCAGTAACAGACACGGCAATCCCTTATTCCCATTACTGCTGACGGTGTTAGGTAAACACAAAGGATCCTAAAGGCTCACTCCACTCCAGTATATCTAATTACTGCAGAAGCTAATTTCCCTGAACCTCAGGCTGGCCATAACATAAACTGTAGGAGTATAATGAGCAAGAAAGGCAAAAATAAATGCATTCATTACTTATGAGCAATTTGTCAGAAATGTCTCTCATGCTAATTGGACATTATGAGGAAATTATATTAATTCGACCATAATAACGCTTTCAGAAAGACCCTATATATAATATGTGTTTATTTGCTTATTACAGTACAATTAGGGAAAACATGTCTAACTGTACATTACTTTTGCAATCTGGGCTCACCTTATGCATCCAACTTATGAAGACAATGATGAAGAAGAAGAAGAGAAAAATGAAGACACTTGCGATGAGGGATGGTGATGGTGATGGCGGTGATGATCATTTTCGAGGTGGAGACAACACAGAGGATGGAAATGAAGACAGAAAACTTGATATGGTGATCAGAGACTACTTGCATCCCCAAGGTCATAATTAAATAGCTTTTTCACCCACCAAGCAGATGCAGATTTATGCCATCATGTAAAATCAATATCTAATGAAAGTCGTGAATGCTTCTAAAAGACAGAAAAGGCAGCACAGTTCTTATAAACTCAAATCAATTTTTTTGTCGAATGTTTAAACCTTTTAACATAATCCAATTCTACTCACCTCCATTTTGAAAAACGATTTTTAATCGTTTAAGGACAATCTAGAAGTGGTTTGATTTCTCGTACATTATGACATTACATGATCAATAAAATATGCCAAACACACATTAAATAAATAAACAAATAAAAGTGAATAAGTGCACTAAATGCTTAAGATAAAGAGAAGCACAATCAAGAATTCTTCATTTACTGTTACTCTCTTATAGCAGAGCCTTTGATTAATACATCTTAATACATATTTATTAAAAGCCTTATTCAAATACATGTATCATGTTACTTTTCTTTTAATATATATTCCATATGAGTTAAATAATTTTAAGTATTGCCGAATAGCTAAATCAAAATATACTCTATGCACACAGTTTATTAACATGCTGGCACATTTTTAATTAATCTTTTCATATGAATTATTAAATAGTGTGCAACTCCTAATGAGAGTGGGGGCATAATTTAACCCAGCCGATCGCATGATATGACTTTTATCAAAATGAAGCAATGCTTTGCTCACACAAACGACTCTATACTCAGTGTATTACAGTAGAGGATGCTTTCAACGTATAATTTTAACCCTCCTGTGGCCCTTCTCAGCCTTTTACATTTTCATAATTACAGCTGCAAAAGATATTCAGCCTGTGCTGAGCCATCTAAAATTAGAAGAACCACAGGGAATCAGATTTTCTCTGTTCAGAGAGCATTGAGTCGGGAGTCATGGAGGTAAAAAGGATCGGATTCGAGTCAATGCTAGTAGTGGGGGAAAATATGGCTTTAGGGGGTTTATTTCCACTAGGGACTCACACACTGAACATGTTTCCATTTCAAAAAACAAAAAGGCACTGAGTGAAAACAGCTCATTAATGGTTTTCACATTTCATAGGTCGCTGAAGGATTAAACAATCCAGATCGTGTATACAATGCAAATGTAAAGAGATTATGAAATTAAAAGTGAGGAACAACGGTAGATCCTTGGTTAAAAGGAAAGGCCTTACATTGCTTACTCTAATTATTTATAGCTCATCATGAATATGTATGTTATTCAATAAAAGACACATAGCAAGATAAAAATAAAGCTTAGTTAAAATTGCCTTACTGATTGTGTTTATATATGAAAGCATTATTCACTCATATGTGATCAGAAATCAGTATTTGAGATTGAGATCTATTATTGACTTTTGTCATAGACTAAACCTGCAAAGCTCCATCTCCCTTTTAGCTTCTACATCTTCTAACTATGTACTTTTTTCAGATTTCCAATGCAGCACAGATGCATTTACAACCATTATCCATTATACGGGCATAAGCCAAGACCCCATGTAAAATAAATTACTATACAGTATGTGCATGATCCCATAGTGATGTTATCAGTATACCCAGGGCACCTTGCCAGTAATTGCAGGGCGAGCGGGGTGTTGAGGCACAAATACAGACATTTTTAAATGTGCATTGTCTAACTATAGATTGCTTCCTGATTGCATGTACCCAAAAGGCATCCAAGGCATACTATCAGTATTCATTGGTAGTCAGCTCTCTGTTGCAGAATAACTCAATAGAATGAAAAATGAACTGAATATACTGTACAGAATCCAGAGGCATGCCTTAACAGGTACTAAAAGCATAAACAGTCATATTACCATAAACCGCTGGGGTGTTCAAACAAAAATAGAGATTATATATTAGATATAGAAGATATATCATTTTACCTAGTACTCCTAGGCGATAGTTGAGGGTTATGACAATGACGTTCCCGTAGCTTGCCAGTACGCTGCCATCCATCATGTTGCCGGTGCCTTCTGTGTACGAGCCCCCGTGGACGTAAACCATCACTGGCCGCTGACCGCCTTCCTCATGGATATCTGAGAAAAGAGAGAAAAAGAAAGAAAGAAGATAGATGGATAGATGGTTGGATAGATAGATAGATAGATAGATAGATAGATAGATAGATAGATAGATAGATAGATAGATAGATAGATAGATAGATAGATAGATAACGTGAGTGTAGGAACAGATCCACCCACCTTCCTTCTGCCTGTATTCTGTCCTGGTTCATTTTTTAAAATAAATATTCATATGTACTGTGTGTGTCTAACTGACCGTCCACCTGTCCATTTGCATGCATATCAGCCTTTAATCGGTTGCTGGGTTTATACATACAAAAGCAGGAACAGTCTGTGGCTCCTTTGCTTCCCTATGCTTCATAACTCCCTACGTTCATTTCTCAGCGGGTGGATATAAATTGAGGCTGCGGGAGTGTTCATTCGTGTGTGTGTGTGTGTGTGTGTGTGTGTGTGTGTGTGTGTGTGTGTGTGTGTGTGTGCACACACGAATGAACACTCCCGCAGCCTCAATTTATATCCACCCGCTGAGNGAGACAGTGCTACCCAACCTGACACATTGAGTACGGTCGGTTAGATAACTCTGAAACCAGCAAATGGCATTATGACCGAAACGAGACATCAACATAACATTAGACATAATGTGGTGATCTACAGTGTCAAATGCTTTGGCTAGGTCAATAAACAATGCAACACAAACAGATTTGTTATACAAAGCAGCCTTAATATCGTCTAAGACTTTCAGACTGGCAGTCACAGTACTGTGCTTTGATCTGAGTCCAGATTGCATAGGGTTAAGGATGTTGTGTGAATTTAAAAAAGGTTTTAGCTGAGTAGAAACTAGGGACTCAAGAATCTTTGATAACACAGAAAGATTTGAGATAGGACGATAGTTATTCAACTCCGTGGGATAACCAGCTTTCAAGAGGGGCGATACCAGAGCTTGCTTCCACACAGCTGGCAGTGTGTGAGTGGACAGGGAGAGATTACAAATATCAGTTACTGGTTGTGCTATAATCTGGGCTGCAACTTTTAAAAAGAACTGCACTGCAAAGAATATATTTGAGATAAGGTCAAAACATCACATTTGAACATGTGTTATTGGGCTTTGGGAAGCAATGATCAAAGTGTTTCACTAAAAAGCAAATCAATAATTGAGAAAATAATATAGATTAATTATTAATGTAATAATGATAGGTTGCAGCCCTCAACTATACTTCCTGTGTCTTATTAGGCCTCATTGGATTCACCTCCAGACCAAAAGAGAACAGGCAGGTATTTTTAAAGTAACTCTAAATGGAGACAGACGTATATTTCCTCCGCTGTGCTAAAACGCATTCGATAAAGGTGCCAGTGAGTCAAGACTGAACAAAGCCTTCTTGTCTGCAGAAGTCCTCGGCATGGGATTTACAGGCGATCAGAAAGAAATAAGGAGGGATGAGATGCGATGGAAATAATCGCCTCTGAATGGTTTACAGCCCAGGAAAAGGCTCCCTGGGCTCTGCTGAAACTGAGAGATTGATACTCTGAGGATTCACAGCTGATGCTGTAAATATGTGAGCCCAACTGAGAGTCTGCAAGCTGTATCTGTCATGCCATCAAGGGCCGTATGAATGTATGCCATTTTCATATGCTTCCCTATCACTGAGATAAAGTATGAAAGTCATGCTCAACTCCATGATTCGGTGATCGCAGTATCACATCTCATTATACTAAAGATTGATTTATTCCCATGGCTTCCTACACCGTGTGTGTCTTTCAAGCTTGGTACATAAATCATGGGAGGGATAATAAACCTGGAGTAAAATGGTCTCATATTATAGTGCTTACACAGATACAGCGCAGACACACTTCTCCTTGTGTTCTTTTATTGCCTTTTGTCGTCACAGCGGTGTAGGTATAATGGAGAGAGGCTCACTGAGTCGTGGGAAAGCATGCTGCTCCCAAACAGCATATGGTGGCTCTGTTACAGTACTTGTAAGTCGTCTATCTTGAGATGAGGTGTTTGAAGCGTTACCACTTCCCTACTTACTTTAACAGCTAAGACATGGATCCCCCTGTATATCAGTGGTGAAACGTGAAAACCCCTGATTATTATATGTTCCTAAAAACCGCATATAAAATATTCTAGCCGCACACTGCTAAAAACTCCCAAAAAAGTGTCCCCATCTGTTTCCCTGAAAGACTGCCACTAACAAACTAAAATGAGAGGTTGCCCCGCTGTGCCTGCTCAGCACAGTCCAGGTGGTGCATATATCCTCACAGCAATGTATGTGTCTCTTTCCACAAACAATGTATACACCTTCAGCACTAAGAATACGAACAAGAGTGGTCTTTGAAGAGACGCAGCAGAGACAAGAAAAGACAAACAAACCATCAGTCTCGCTGTCCTGGCTCTCTGTCACACACTGCCTGCACTCCCAGAACAAACAACACTGCTTAAAACACCAGGCCTCATCTCCACGGCTGAGCTCCTCTGGCTTCACGGAGCAGCATCCTGTCAAGCGTAAAAAAGATGAACCCTGGCTCCTATGCTACAACTTCTCAAAGTAGTTACAGTTTTGTTAAATCCTTTAAGTCAGGAGTGTAATGCTCGAGTCACTTTGTCGTCCAGTTAAATTGATGTAGACTACTTTTGGAGTGTCCGAAAAAGGACACTTCATGTCTCCAGATTTCATTGACATCAAATGTGAAGCAAGGAAGTTTTGGCAAAGTTTGAACTATTTAGGTTTAAATACAGTACATCCATGATTCATATCAGTCGGACTCAAAGTGTATGAGTTATAGGAATCTAATGAGTGTGTGCAGCTTCTACCAATCTTCTAATAATGACTCCCATGAGAAGCTTCTTTTCTCTCATCATTCACTCTGTCCAGTGAGGAATCAATGAACATGTCTGAGGCTTAAAGACTCACTTTTTTATAAAATGCCACAACCATCACCTAACCATTCTAGTCAATCACATTGTAATTTTATCGATTGTAATTTGGGACAAAGACCGACTTTACATGGTTAATAAATAACAATCTAAATGTTTTCAGCTGAGCAAAACAGGGGCATTTTGGGTTATGACAGCCAGCCAAGAAATGAAAACAAAACTATCTCCAACTTTTTTCCACAGAGTGCCTCCAGCATTTAAATGTTGACTTAACTCCCTGCTAATAAGCCTGAGGTCTTTCTTCAGTTTATATAATGGTATTTGTCCTGAGAAGCTCATGACTCCTAATCATCGCAATACAGATCCCAATACAAAATAAATTGTAGAACTTTCTGCAAAACTTTATTTTTGCAGGCCAGTGTATCTCTTTAAGTGTGAACAGATTTGGTAATGACCATCAGTTGTCAAAGTTGCCTGTCCCTTTTTCTAAGTAGAGCCTAAAGTGGTCTTATGACAGTCACAGGAGGGACGATATAGTTTTGTTTACCAGCGATGTCTCTCCCTCCCACTTTCTCTGTCTGTCTCCCTCTGAGTGCACACCAATGGAGGCATCTCAGTGGGGGGCATTCTGCTTTCCAGGCTGGAAGCACTCGCTACAGTAAACATCCTCTCTTCTGCTTCACCCTGGGATGAGCAGACACACAAATCCCTGTGTCCATGCGATGGGGCGAGTCAAGAAAAGGGGTAGTGACGTACATTCTTTTTTTCGCAAATAGAGCGACTAAAGAGAAGCGCATTCAGACATTAGGTTCAAGGGCTAATATACCGTGTTTCCTTCCAGCAGGTGGCCTACTCAGGGACTTTTATCAAGCACCATTTTTAACCAATAATATTCCAGGCCTAGAGGAATCAATCTCGTCCTGTGGCCACTTCAAAGAGGTCAAGTTTTGAATAATGTAATACCTACTTTTTACATTCATTAATGACCAACAAATATAAAGTTATATGGAGGCCTAAGTCGTTGGAGTTTAAAATAAGCTCTTTCAATTGCACACGTGCAGACACTGAGCCTTTAAGATCCATAACACCATGCCTCCTTACTTTTATCAGATAAAAACAGCAGCTTCTTCTTTGTTAATACCTTTCCCTTACAGCTTTTTATTAAACTGCACTCTCTCCAGTACACATTATTCATTTATCACTAACCTGTGGTTAATAAAAAAGTAACTGTCATGAATATCAATCTTTTCCATTATAAATCTCACTAATTTATCCCTATGTGTGTTTTTGTGCACATATTTCCCTACAACTTCCCCCAGGCTGTCTGTTGATGCAACAGAGCAGTCATCACTCAGGAAGCAAATACTGGTTGAGTGTCGTCTGAGGCCAGAAGGCAACCCGGAAGCCCTGGCTCACAACAGCCATAAGCGACTGCAACAGAAAGAAAGCCCTCTGTGTGTACGTGCTATCCACTTGTTGATCTATTCTCTGGTTATATCTCATTATATTTTGTCAAGTGATGTTGCAACTCCTATGACATGCATTTAAAAGTGTATGCAAGTATAAGACAGGAATGCTTAAGTCCCTGCACTCCACATGACAGACGGGGAATGCAGACGAACCTCATGAAGTGCTGGATTGTAGGGCAGGTGAGTCAAGAGGAGACTTTGCAGCCGGTGTGTAATCAGTAACTACATTGCATGCACACACACACACACACACAACTACCACTATAGGTCAACAATAGTCAAATGTAGAAACTAAGAGGCAAAGTGGCGACACAACCCCTTTGTCTCTTTACTTCACGGAAATGGGACATGCCCTTTGACCCACAGTCAATCACCCGACGTCTTCTTTTAAACATTTGTGTTAACAATATAGTCTGTGATATGTATACTACTTACAAATCCTACAAAACCCTCTTGACATATTCCCATTGTGTTGTTGGGCTGGCTTCACAGGACACAGGATTTGTCTGTCTGTGAGTGAAGTTTGGGTATTATCTGGGGGGCTTCCATGTGGGAAGAATGCATATACGTAATCCTACCTGAAGATAATGACATCTCTTGATTGCTGGGGTAGCTCTCAGTGGGGCCCTGGGAAACAAATATCCGGTCTATCTTCATTCATTCTTCATTCTCTGTGTATGACTTCTCCAAGTACTCATTGAGTGCCCTACACACAGCAGACAACTCAAGTCAATTTAATTATATTTTGCCCAGAGACCCAGAAAACCATCAGCACTCCTGAGATGTGAAACTACCTGGCTGCAGGTTTGCTGCGTGTCAATTAGTTTGTGATGATTTGATTTAAAATGCCTTAAGGCCCTTTGATGTTGGTTTTATTGTGCTGTAAGGGCACATTCACAGACAAATGTGCTGTTAATAAAATAGTCACAAAGCAATTGAAACACAGTGGTTTAACTTGGGGGCCCATGAATGCATGCTTTGGTCAGAGAGAAAGGTGGCTATTATTCACTTTGTTGAAAACATTGCAGCTATATTTCAATTGTAAATAGGCTATGTTAGAAAGAGATAAGTTGTCTATGAACTATTTCCTCAATGGCATACGGGAATCAAGCATTTTTTCCACTGAGATGATTGGAATTAAGACATAACTAAGAGTAAGACACTACTAATAACAACACAAAGCAGTAACATCAGCAGCATGCTATATCACCCAGTGCATTCCCGGTCCTCACCTTGAACTCCACTGACAGCTGAGGTGTGTACTCCAGGGTCCACAAGCCTCGGACCAGCGTCGCCAGCTGCTCGGTCACCTCTCCCCTGGCGGGAAGCGGCTCCTCGCCCCTCACGTCCCCGTTCACCCTCCTCTGGTACAAATCCAACTTGTACTGCTCCAGCCCGAGGTACTCGGCCAGCAGGTCCGTGTTGTTGAGGCACTGAACCACGGCGTTCATGAAACAGGTGTTTCCATGGTTCTTCAGCCCCAGCACGCCGGGGGTCTTGTCGCCGAAGCACCAAGACAGCCTGTCTTTCACCGAGCCGTGAGTGGAGGACACCGTGGAACTCTTCTTCACGGTTCCCTCCCTGGAGGTCTGCCCACTGTCGTCTCTGAAACCCCCAGAAGCGGTTCGCCCGAACCCGCCGTCGTCGTCCTCCGCGTCCGGCGTTTCCGCGTCGCCAAAGTGCGCAAAAGTGCCCAAAGTTTTAAGAATCCTTCCCATGAAATTCCCAAAAGATCGCAGCGATTTCCTCCTAGCAAATCTTCCGGTTTTATATTTCTTCTCCTTTCGCTTTGTCGTCTTGGGTTTCATAGCTTTTCTTCCCTTGTTTTCCTTGCGGGTATCCATGGCTCTAGTACTTAGAAGGACAGAGAATGAAACAGATTGTGGAGTCGCACCTGTCTGCAAGCCGGTCTGTCTACCCCTCCTCCTCTTCCTCTTCTCTCCTCAAACCTTACCGCTGAGGTGGCTCACACTCGGTGCCCGTAAAGCACATGGTCACTGATATTAATCCCCTGACAACCCGGTAATTCCATGCACTAGGTGTTCACCAGCCTGCGCGTGTTTGTAGGTGACACTCTCACTCTCTCTCTCTCTCTCTCTCTCTCTCTCTCTCTCTCTCTCTCTCTCTCTCTCTCTCTCTCTCTCCAGGAACTACAGAGATGAGACTTGTTCCTCCCTGCACTGCACAGGTTCTCACACACTTCCTCATCTCAGCGCAGGATCGTACGCTGGCAGTCTACTCTCTCTCTCCCCACCACTATTCCTCCCTCCCTCCTGTCCTGTCAAAGGGGTTTAACAATGAACATGTTTCTATTTGGAGAATCACGTCTAATGCCCGCCCCTTAGACATTAATTAAAATGTCCTGAAATACACTTATCAATAGAAAATGTTCAAACAATGAGCAGGAAATCATTTTTCGTACAGCTTCAAATTGTTCCTGGAATGGCAAAAAGTATAAAACTCAACATGTCTTAGTTGTTGCACAAGGAACAGGGAAGTTGATTTATTTAATTATGATGTTAAGCACTGTAGCCTTAAACTGCCCCCTGTAGGAGCCATTACAACATCACCTGGTTTAACCTCTTCAGAAGGTTTGAAGAAATCTTTGGCATTAGTTGAATGGAATGCACTAAAGGTGCCTCTATAAGCACAGACAAGTAAATAACACTCAGTTCTTAATAAGAACAAGAGCCACAGATTCACCGAGATATATTTGTAGTTGTTTTGCATCTTTGGTCACTTGTGTGTCCAGGTTTTGTAGACTTTGTTGTCTGTTGGTGGTCTTTTTACAGGTCTTTGGTTATTTTATGTATTTGGGTAATTCTACAGATCTTTGTGGCAGTTTTGCATCTTTTGTGGTTGTTTTGTGTCTCTTTGTGGTTCTTTTTGGTCTGTTTTGTGTGTCCTTGTGGTTGCTTTGTCTCTTGCTGTGGTCATTGAACATCTCTGTGGTAGTTTTGCATGTCTTTGTGGTCATTTTAAAGGCCCCATGTCATGGCCATTTCTACTGATCATAATTCCATTGTTGAGGTCTACTAGAATAGATTTACATTGTTCAATGTTCCAAAATCACATTGGTTTTCTCATACAGCATCTCTGTATAGCATGTGTATTCACTCTCTGTCCTAAACGGCTTGTTGGAGCTCCTGGTTGTTTCCTGGTTGCTGCGTGGGGTCTGCGAGACAGCGAGACAGTACGTGGCGAACTGGAGATCAGCGGAGCCGCGGCTGAGAAAAGACAAGGCTGAGTGAGTGTGTGTGTGTGAGGAGCTCTGCGGATTGGTCCATTTGGACCTGGGTATCGTTATGTCACTAGGAAGAAAAAAATGGAAAAAGATAAATCTCCAACGAGGCGTTCTGGGGCAGCATAGACAGGTATTTTCTGTGTTAGAGTTTTACTTGCTACAGGGTGTACTTCGAGGGTTTGTGACTTTGCAGAGACTCTGGCACATAATCAGTAACTGGTACAAGGCTGTTGTTTACATTAATCTTACGCTTCAACCAGACCATATATTAAACCTCTAGCCTACAACAAAGACATATCAGCTACTGCAATCCTTATGGTGGTGCATTATCATCACTTGATACTAATAGTTTGCACTCATTAAAATACAGTGAGATCTCACAATGTAGAAATTGAAAGGTATGTTTATATGTCTGATAGTAAAATACTGTTCAAAAATGTTATTTCCTTGCTTGACCCTGTCTTTGAGATGCGTTGTATATAACAGAATAACATTCACAGACACATCTAAAGCATCCTATAAATAGCCTGGCTGCTGCCTCGACACACATCCATGATGCTGCTGCTGTTCACCCTGGAAGCTCCGCAAAATAAAATAAAAAGAAGCTTTCTCTTTCCATGCACCCTTGGCATGGAATTCGTTTCAAATTATCATTACCTTTCTTATTTCTGTGAACATCTTTAAATGTCTCCTCAAACTGCCCAAAGGAAACATGTAACTGTTTAACATAAGCCTTGACTCAGGTGGACATTGCTGGTATTGCCTGAAGTTTTCTCTTCTTTTACTCGTATTTCAAAAGAACTGTCCTCCTGACTAAATCTAAGTAGTCTAAAATAATGATGGAAAAATATGTCATAGTAAAATAAAGAACCACTCGAAAAGAAACAATCAGCCCTGGTTTTTAACGGGGATTTTTGTGCTATATTCAGATTCTAATCACCCTGAAGCTTAATTTCACAGCTCAGCAGTACTAAAGATTGAAAATAGTGGGCCAGATGTGCAGATTTATTGAAATAGATAGTCTGGGCCCCATCCAATATCTCCATAATTTCCCCCAATGCCATTATTCCAGCAATGGAAGAAAAAGGCTCATGTAGTACACCATAGTAACAAATAAACGAATTATGTGTCAAACTCATAGACTGTAAAGGTCAAACTGCATCTTCCTTACAGAAAAGGACACACACTTGTCCTTTATTCATTGCTAACAGGGAGATTTTTTTTTACTGACTATACTGAAGGTTTGCCATTTGACTTTTTTTAGGGAAGCAGGGGTGAGTTATTCATTATTTAGATTATCCATTTTAAACAATGGTGAGTAGAGTGGTTTCAGATCAGAGGCAGACAGAGAGGCTTTCTGCTGTCTAAACCAGAATCCTTCAGGGATCACTGTTGATAGATAAGCTGACAGCAGCTCTGTGCTTAGCCAACAATCTCAGCCTCCTCCTTTTCTCTACAGAAACAGACTGAAGAACCATAACTATAAGTAAATGCAATGTGCTGTATTATACATTCTTGTTTTTACATATTCTGGTTTCATCATTGACAGTCTGTAGAATGGCATTCATTCTGTTGTTCTTAATACGCTAAAGAAGCATAATACAGACACTTTGATGTGAAGAATAAGTTATTGTGCCTTGAAGTGTAATTTTAAATACAAGTAAAGTGTCGCTCTGTGAATTCCAACCCATATTCGGCTCCTGCTGGGAACTACCATTTAAGAGACCAGACTGCTCAGAGAGTGTAATGTTTTCAATTCTTTAAATATCATCCTTTCTCTACTCTAAGATAAAATAAGAGTCACTGATGCTAAATCAAATTACCTTTATTTCCTTTGGTCTGGGTTTAAACCTTTTCTGAAATGTTAATGTCAGAACTCTCCTAGAAATATTTGCTAAGAGGAACAATAATGGGAAAATGTCGGATCATATGAGTACGAGTGTTCCTGGAATCAAAGTAGAACGCGTAGTTTCCAGGACTCCACATGTCACATTAAGAGGAAGCAGGGTGAGGGAACCTCCATCTCAGAATGGCTCCGTCTGCGCTGGTGCTGACCAGGGTGCGGTTGTTGGAGCAGACCTTGATGCTGGTGATGCTGCCACTGTGAGCTATTCCTACATGGGTTACCGTACCTTCCATGTAGTCCCACACCTTCACCAGCTTGTCATCTCCACCTGTCATGAGAAGATTCAAAATATGTCAATGACCTGAGAGAAGTTTCAGCAGAGTAGTGTCAGTACAGGAGATGTAGACAAAGACTTCAAAAAGTGAGAACAAACTTTCATTAGTATTTTCAAGTAAATCAAACATATGGAAAATGAACACAGGTATACCAGGGTCAATACAAATCAAACTCTTAGTTAAACTGTTTTTAACTAAAAGACACCATCGGAAATTACACACAGAAAATGCTGATCACGCTTTTATCTGAACATTTTCAGCAATGAACAAGTGTACAATTATAATCATCTAAATATTGAGTGCCCATTAACTCGTTTTGTAGATTTACACTATTTCTTCTAACTGGTTTAATTATATTGAAAAGAAAATCACTAACACAATTTAACAGTCAGCTGACATGTAATAATGGGACATTATTTTTAATGATATTTTATTTCTGAAATATTTTGGACTGTTTAGTTCTTGTGTCTTAATTTCCCTTATGTACATTGCCTTGTGTTTTTTATGCTTCTGCAACGCAAACATTTCCCAAATTGGGATCAATAAAGTACCTATCTATCTTTCTATCTATCTGTCTATCTATCTATCTATCTATCTATCTATCTATCTATCTATCTATCTATCTGTCTATCTATCTATCTATCTGTCTGTCTGTCTATCTATCTATCTATCTATCTATCTGTCTATCTATCTATCTATCTATCTATCTATGTGTCTGTCTATCTATCTATCTGTCTGTCTGTCTGTCTGTCTGTCTATCTATCTATCTATCTGTCTCTCTGTCTATCTATCTATCTATCTATCTGTCTATCTATCTATCTATCTATCGATCTCTGTCTTTCTATCTATCTATCGATCTGTCTTTCTTTCTATCTATCTATCTATCTATCTATGTGTCTATCTATCT